TCCTGAGACTTTGCTGAAGTTGCTTATCAGTTTTAGGAGATTATGGGCTCAGATGATAGGGTCTTCTAAATATACAATCATATTGTGTAAAAATACAGAAAATTTGACTTCCTCTTTTCCTGATTGAATACTCTTTATTTATTTTTCTTGCCTGATTGCTCTGGATAGAACTTCCAGTACTATATTGAATAGGAGTTGTGGGAGAGGGCATACTTGTCTAGTGCCAGTGATTAAAGGGAATGATTCCAGTTTTTGCCCATTCAGTATGATATTGGCTGTGGGTTTGTTGTAAATAGCTCTTATTATTTTGAGATACATTCCATTGATACCTAGTTTATTGAGAGTTTTTAGCATAAAGGGCTGTTGTATTTTGTCAAAGGCCTTCTCTGCATCTATTGAGATAGTCATGTCATTTTGTCTTTGGTTCTATTTATGTGGTGGATTATGCTTATAGATTTGTGTAGGTTGAACCAGCCTTGAATCCCCAGAATGAAGCCTACTTGATCGTGATGGATAAGCTTTTTGATGTGCTGTTGCAATTGGTTTGCCAGTACTTTATTGAAAATTTTTGCATCTATGTTCATCATGGAGATTGGCCTGAAGCTTTCTTTTTTAGTTGAGTCTCTGCCAAGTTTTGGTATCAGGATGATGTTGGTCTCATAAAATGATTTGGAAAGGATTCCCTCTTTTTGGATTGTTTGAAATAGTGCTACCAGCTCCTCTTTGTACATCTGGTAGAATTCGACTGGGAGCCCATCTGGACCTGGACTTTTTTTAGTTGGTAGGTTATTAATTGCTGCCTCAACATCATCCCTTGTTATTGGTCTATTCAGAGTTTCAACTTCTTCCTGGTTTAGGCTTGGGAGGGTGCAAGTGTCAATGAATTTATCGATTTCTTCCAGGTTTACTGGTTTATGTGCATAGAGTTGTTTGTAATAATCTCTGATGGTATTTTGTATTTCTGTGGAATTAGTGTTGATATCCCCTTTATCATTTTTTATTGCATCTGTTTGTTTCTTCTCTCTTTTCTTTTTATTAATCTGGCTAGCGGTCTGTCTAATTTGTTGATCTTTTAAAAAACTACTGCATATATTGATTTTTTTGAAGAGTTTTTGTGTCTCTATCTCATTCATTTCTGCTCTGATCTTAGTTATTTCTGTATTCTGCTAGCTTTTGAGCTTTTGTTGATTTTATTCCTCTACTTCTTTCAATTTTGATGATACGGTGTCAATTTTAGATCTTTCCTCACTTCTCATGTGGGCATTTATTGCTGCAAGTTTCCCTGTAGTCACCACTTTAAATGTGTCCCAGAGATTCTAGTATGTTGTGTCTTAGTTCTTGTGGGTTTTGAAGAACATCTTTATTTCTGCCTTCTTTCATTGCTTGTCCAGTCAACATTCACTTGTTCAGTTTCCATGAAGTTGCGTGGTTCTGAGTTAGTTTCTTAATCCTGAGTTCTAATTTGATTGCACTGTGGTGTGAGAGACTATTTGTTATGATTTCCATTCTTTTGCCTTTTCTGAGGAATGATTTACTTCCAATTATGTGGTCAATTTTATAGTAAGTGTGATGTGGTGCTGAGAAGAATGTATATTTTGGGGATTTGGGGTGGAGAGTCCTGTAAATGTCTATAAGGTTTGTTTGGTCCAGATCTGATTTCAAGTCCTGGATACCTTTGTTAATTTTCTGTCTTCTTGATCTGTCTTATATTGACAGTGGAGTGTTAAAGTCTCCCACTGTTATTTTGTGGGAGTCTAAGTCTCTTTGTAGATCATTAAGAACTTGCTTTATGTACCTGGGTGCTCCTGTATTGGGTGAGTATATATTTAGAATAATTAGCTCTTCTTGTTGCATTGATCCCTTTCCCATTATGTAATACCCTTCTTTGTCTCTTTTGATCTTTGTTGGTTTAAATTCCATTTTATCAGAGACTAGGATTGTAACTCCTGCTTTTTTTTTTCCTATTTGCTTGATAAATCTTCCTCCATCCCTTTATTTTGAGCCTATGTGTGTCCATGCACGTAAGATGGGTTTCCTGAATACAGCACACTGATGGGTTTTGACTTTTAATCCAATTTGCCAGTCTGTGCCTTTTGATTGGGTCATTTAGCCCATTTATATTTAAGGTTAATATTGTTATGTGTAAATTTGATCCAGCCATTTTGATGCTAGCTGGTTGTTTTTCCCATTTGTTGACACAGTTTATTCATTGTGTCGATGATCTTTACCTTTTGGTATGGTTTCAGAGTGGCTGGTACTGGTTGTTCCTTTCTATGTTTAGTGCTTTTCTCAGGACCTCTTGTAAGGCAGGCCTGGTCGTGACAAAAATCTCTCAGTAATTGCTTGTTCATAAAGGTTTCTATTTCTCCTTTGCTTATGAAGCTTAGTTTGACTGTATATCAAATTCTAGGTTCAAAGTTCTTTCCTTTAAGGATGTTGAATATTGGCCCCCACTGTTTTCTGGCTTTTAGGGTTTCTGCCGAGTGTTCCACTGTGAGTCTGATGGACTTCCTTTTGTGGGTAACCCGACCTTTTCTCTGGCTGCTCTTAGCATGTTTTCCTTCATTTCAACCTTGGTGAATCTGACTATTATGCACCTTGGGGTTGCTCTTCTTAAGGAATACCTTAGTGTTGTTTTCTGTATTTTCTGGACTTGAATGTTGGCCTGCCTGGCTAGGTTGGGGAAGTTCTCCTGGGTAATATCCTGAAAAGTGTTTTCCAGCTTGAATTCATTCTCTCTGTCACATTCAGTTACACCTATCAAAGGTAGATTAGGTCTTTTCACAAAATCCCATATTTCTTGGAGGCTTTGTTCATTTCTTTTACTCTTTTTCTCTAATCTTGCCTTCTCGTTTTGTTTCATTGAGTTGATATTCAACCTCTGATATCCTTTATTCTCTTGGTCAGTTTGGTTATTGAAACTTGTGTATATTTCACGAAGTTCTCATCTTGTGGTTTTCAGCTCCATCAGGTCATTTAAATTCTTCTCTAAGCTGTTCTCATAAGCATTTCATCAAATCCTTTTTTCAATGTTCTTAGTTTCTTTGCATTGGGTTAGAACATGTTCTTTTAGCTTAGTGAAGTTCGTTATTACCCACCTTCTGAAGCCAGTTTCTGTGAATTCATCAGATTCATTCTCCATCCAGCTTTGTTCCCTTGCTGGTGAGTTCTGATACTTTGAATGATGAGAGGCTTTCTTGTTTTTGGTGTTTTCATCCTTTTTGTGCTGGTTTATTCCCATCTTTGTGGATTTATCTACTTGTGGTCTTTGTAGTTGTTGATTTTAGATGGGGTCTCTGAGTGGTCCCCCTTTTCATTGATGTTGATGTTATTTCTTTCTGTTCTTTAGTTTTCCTTCTAACAGTCAGTCCTCTCTGCTGTAGGACTGCTGGAGGTCCACTCCAGACCCTGCTTTCCTGGGGATAACCTGCATCAGCTGCAGAATAGTAAGGGTTGCTGCCAGTTTCTTCTTCTGTTATCGTCGTCCCAGAAGCATGACTGTAAGATGTCAGCCTGAACTCTCCATTATGAGGTGTCTCTTTTGATATACGGGAGTTGAGGAGCTGCTTGATGAGAGAGTCTGTCCCTTATAGGAGCTCAGGTGATGAGCTGGGAGCTCCATTGTTCTGTTCAGAGCTGCTGGGCAGGTACATTTAAGTCTGCTGCAGTGGAACTTATGACCACCTTTTTTCCCAGATGCTCTGTCCTGGGAAGGTGGGGCTTTATTTACAATTTCCTGATGTGCTGCTGCCTTTTTTCAGAGATTCCCTGTCTTGCAAAGAGGTAGACTAGTCACAGTTTGCCAGCAGAGGTGTTGCTGAGCTGCTGTGGGCTCTACCCAGCTGCTGTGTAAGCTTTCCTGCATTTTGTTTATATAGGTATAGTTAGAACTGCCTTGATACTAGCAGTCTGCCTCAGTAATGGCGGACTGCCTCAGTAATGGTTGATTACCTCAGTAACGTTAGACTGCCTCAGTTAGGGTGGACTGCCTGGGTAGTGGTGGACTACCTCAGTAATGGTGGAGGCCCTTCTCCTGACAGAGCTGGACCATATCAGGTCGAGCTACACTTGTTGTGAAACTCTCAATCCAGAGCATCAGATTGCAGGTCTTTGTGGAGGTGAGAATCGCTGCCCCAGATCACCTGGCTCCCTGTTTCAACCTCCTTTGTTTCCATTGAACTGGTGGCTCTGTCTCCCAGGCATTCCAGGCACCAGTTGAAATGGCCGACCAGATTTGTGTGAGTTTTTCGCAGAGACCCACTGCGCTGGCTAAAACAGCTGTGCTGGAAACTTATGGTGCTTTTTAGCCTGGTAAACTCCGGGTCTGTGGGCAGTAAAAACTCATTTGGAAATGCAGTGATCACTCACCCTCTGCATTGTTCTCACTGGGAACTGCACTCCAGAGCTGTTCCTATTTGTCTATCTTGGATCCACCTCCAAGGAAATGGATTTTTATTACACTGATGCAAATAACTGTGTTGCCATAAGCTAAGAATACTTACAAATAATTTTCACATTCTGGAGAAGCCAGTCGGAGAGAAACAAATGTGTTCCAAATTTTGTTCCAGTTGTATCACTTAATTATTAAAGACTGTAAATAATTTAAAATAAGTTTCCTTAATTTTGAAAACAAAAGAATCAACATTTTGAGCAAAAAGTTAAAAAGATTACTTCAGTTTTCTATTAGTTCAGATCATTCCATTAACTCTTATTCTGCTAGGTTTTCATAAACATTTCAGGTCTTCATGATTCCTGTACATTGCTCTCTATTTCAATATCATAATCTCCGAAGATATCAGAAACCCTGCATTTAAAAGTACCTGTTAAAGTCCTATAGCTGATTATAAACTATCTTTTTAAAAGGATCAAAGCAAGACAATTGTCTGTGAATGACAGAATATTCAGGGTAGTTACAGTAAAAAACATAATTATTTCTGTGGCTTACAACAACTTAACATAATAACCTCAGTTATGATTGGTAGCACATACTGAGACATTAGAGTTTTAGAAATTCCATACAATTTTGGGACATATATTAACATTATTCATTAAAATATAACCTGAAGAGGATTAAACCTTATTTTGGCAATTTCATGTAACTAAAATCCTGTTTACCTCTCTTTTGGACACCCCAGGGGCCCTCTGTAGTATCCAAAGCCAGGGGTCAGAAAAGACAATTTTCAAAGCTAAAGTTTGATTTGAGGAAGACTATCAAACAGTTAAAAGTTCAAAACACTTGGTATTATGAAATATAATTCTAGGTTACAGTAAATTACATAATTGGCCAAAATGATGACTCAAAAATTTGAAAACAAGGTAAAACCTTTACTCATTAAGAGTAAAGGCTTACCTTTCCAAATAATCTGTCTTTAATATTACACGAAAATCCTGTTCAAGAGAGAGAAAACCCAATTTCAACCTTGGATTAGTCTATTATTAATGTCTACCCCAATTTTTAAATGAAACTTTATAGATAATTCTATCCAATTTTAACCAGTTTGACCATGAGGTAAAATTTACATAAACATTTTAAAACCCTTTATAAATTTCTGAAAGAGCAGGTTAGCACCTTAAAAATCCTTGTTTCACTTTTATTTCAAAGCTCCGTTTACAGAAAAACTAAATAATACCCTTTTGAATTTAGTTTTTCACACAGTTTCTTTTGCAAGATTAATTTTTATAACTTTCCACCGCTTGTTTAAACCTTTGATTTTATCTTATTTAAAACATCCTTTAACCCTGTAAACTAGGCAAAAATCCACATTTCCGTACCCTCTTGTAATCTTTTACCAAAATACACATTTTGCTTTCCTTACACAGCTTGCATGCAAATCTGTTTTCAGTAGTCTCGGTTTCATTTTATAATGACAACTCTTAGCAATTTTTAATTTTATTGTAAAACCTTGCAAGTTATTTTAATTATGTACTAGGTACAGATAAGGTCCAACTCTTTCCAGCATAGCTAATACTGTGGGTAATTCTATATGTCTCTAGGCCTTATCAAATTGTAAAGCAGGCAAGTCAAACAGTTCTCAAAAGTCAAAGAAGCAGTTTACAACCTTAAAACATTTAGCAAACCTAGTATCTAACCCACATAGTTTAGGTGACATATTTACATTTTGAAGATATTTGTATTTTTCCAATTATCTTTAAAACTGTTTTTATTTTTTAAATATTAAAATCACATGAACTAAAAGGCATTATAGCTTTAATTTTTCCTTCAAAACTATTTGATCTAAATGCTTTTTGTAGGCCAATAATCACAGCTCTTTTTAAAGTAACCATCACACATATAACTTACATGATTACACAGGAAGACAGAAGAAGATCCAATAGTTGTAAGATTTTTCATTTGCCAATCTCCTAATTAGATTATTGGCTTCAGCATGGGGCCCCTTAAGAAGCAGACTAAGAAAGCGTGCAGTTTTCAGGGTCCAACAAACAGGCATAGCTGGAAGACAGAAACAGATTTTGAGAGGGATCTATCCGCTTTTAATTTCTGGGGTTCAGTAATGAAAACAGAGGGCTTTCCCCCATGTGGGTTCCATAGCACCTTCTTTATTTTTTCAAGGAGTCTCAGGCTATCAGAAGTTATTTTAGGGCCTCTCATGCATGAATTAAGAGTGGCAAGACAAAATGGAGAAAAGTAATTTTGTCGACTGAGAAAAAAAAAATCTTTTCCAGAAAAACAAGATCCAAGAAAAGAACAATATAAAAGCCTTTTAAATAACCTATATCCTAGACATCGACTTTTAGTTAGACTGAGTGCTGTTTAAGGAAATCCTTTCCAATTCATTGTTATCCAACTTTACCCATGCCACAAAATCTGGCTTTTGAGTTTTACGAAAAGTAACCTCACAGGTTAAACCAACAAGTCTCAACTAAGGCTATGACTTAAAGACAAGCGTACATTGTACTTTCAAAGATGTGGAAGCAGGTTTTACAAAATCCAGATTCTTTAAAGTCAATTCAGAGAAAGGAAGATTTAAGAAAGGAAGCTAGAAATTGTGCATGTAGGGGAAGAGAATCAGCAAATGACAAAAGTCACACAGATATTAACCTAAAAGTACTCATTCCCTAAGCCAGGATTGAACCCAGGCCACCACTGTTAAATGACAGAGACCAAAACAAAGTGCTGCCATGTTGTTACAGGTTATGCTTCCAAGGACATAAAACAAGATAAATTAGGTTATAGGGCTGCATCCTATCCTAAGGTACTCTTCTTTCTGACAGATAGAGACAGACAAATTCTTAGTGCAAAGTAAAACAGATTTGCCACAACTTAAGACTGGCCTCATAAATCCTTTTTTCATTAATTAAAACTTTACAGAGGATATGAACAGTGATTGTATTATTCATTCAACTTGTTTGCATAGGATGAAGGAGACCAGAAGTCTGAATAGTAAGAACTTTTATGCTTTGTCAGCATGTCAGGCTTCTGGGTTCCCTTCCCCTGAGTTCAATTTTAAGCCAAGTTGTTTAAGGTTTAAAGAAATTAACTTTTCCCAGTTCAGGTATGCATCTGAGGGGGGTCATCCTGTGGTATGGGAACACAATTACTCATCTGCAAAAGGAAAATGGAGGAGAAAAAAGAAGATTTCATCCAAAGGAGTCCCAGGGATTCAGGAGGCATTTGGGAGAAATACAGACTGAAGATGATTGGTTACCCATCTAGAAAGAGGGGAACAAGGCATCCCTAGCTCTCTTATCTCCCAAGAAAATACCCGGGGCATATGAGGGAGATAAGAGGTGGCCTCTTTTTTCTTTCATTTTTATATCCCCAAGTCCTGGTCACCTTGGTAGGTTGCTGCCCACAGGTACCAACAAAGCTTTTACCCATGCTAACAGTGAGGCCTAAGGAGTGAGAATTATCCATATTTGCCCACGTGCTGCCTTTTCTCTGCTGTCAGTAGCCTTTGAGTTCCTAGATATCATCTATGCCATGGGTGCAAGTATGACTTCTATCCATGAAGTGGGAGGGCCTAACCAGCAGAAATTAATTATGCTCAACTGTGTTGTGCCCTGTCTTCTGTTGTTGCCTGCCTCTGCATTACTTAGATCCAGTTTTCCTCCTAAAGCTTCAACCCAAACCCTGGAATTGAGTTTTGGACAAAAGCGTACCTCAGGGGGTGCATAAATTCATTTAGATTAAGTCACAGAGGGCTCTCACCAATTTGCAGCCAGTAGCCCATGGAGTTGCTCCTCCATTGCTTCCCTATCATAAGTAGGTTGTTAAGGTAGGAGTAAAAAAAAGTCTCTCATAGAAAAGCTCCCTGTATTTGCAGGGCTATGTGCTAACTCCTATAGTGGAGGGTGTGGGAAAAGAGACAGATAGAGACAGAGAGAGAGAGAGAGAGAAAGAGAGAGAGAGAATAGCTTAAGTGTAGAAGTGTAGGGTGCAGAAGATGCCTGGGGGAAAAAAGACTCTTGCTTTATGCAAATTGTTCCTCCAACAGAGAGAGAAATTCTCAATTGTTTTACCCTCTCTCTGGCTCTGCCAGGGGAGGAAAGACTGTGGGCACATAGTGGGATGAGATGGTGAGTAGGAAACACGGACCACCTGGCTGCATGGAGCCCTTGGCCCCCAATACCACCCTGGGGCTGAGTGATGGCTGTGTCTCATTCCTGCCCCACATGGACATTGAATGGAGCACATGCATATGGCACACATAGTCATGTACCTCACCTGGAGTGGGGGTGGGGAGCCACTGCTTGCCCATCCATCCTCTGTGCACACCCATGGCTGTTGGGGTGTGGGTGGGGGATACCCCTAGGAACAGATAGAAATCACTTTGCTCTGAATTGCATATCTGATGGCTAGGCCAAATATTCATTCTACCTAGTAATATATCTGCAGTTGGCAGCAACACTTTTAACATTACTAAAGAAGAGATAGGGGCCATTTCAAACCATTAAAGAAGGAAGGTAAACTCCATAGAAAAGCCTGAGGGTCTTGGATGACTTCAGAAGAAAGGTCTGAGGATGAGAAGTCTTGAAGATGAGGGTGAAAGGTTTGGGATCTGCACTTAGTTACCCTCCAGGTACCTCCATGTGGGCCACCAAAATCATGCAGGATTTCTGCTCCTTAGTTAAGCTAAGTCCAGGTTGTTGTCTCATGACCAGGAAGAATTAGACTTGCAGACCCCAGAGAGTGAGTGCAGTAGAATTTATTAAGCAAAAGGAAAACTCTCAGCAAAGAAAGGGTTCCTTAAAAGCAGGTTGCTAGTGGCCCACTTCACAGTTGAATACTCGGGCTTATGGTGTGAGTTCCTGGTGGCTCCACCCCATCCTTCCAGTTTGCATGTTGTCCCTTATACTGAGCTGCTCCATATTGATTCATTTCCCTTACTGTATATGTGTTAAGGAACTGAATTTTCCCCTTTGGTCGTGTTTAGGTAAGATCTTAGTCAAGTTCCCTTATCTGTATGAAACACTTGGCATAAGCTCTCATGGGTTAGGTCAGAAGACCTCCAGGGACCCTTCCCTTACTGTCTCCCTAAAGCAAGCTGCCTAACTCCTTTCAATGCTGTTATTAACACTGAATTCAATGTATTATTAAATGACTGGGTGCTATAAGCAAAGAAGTATTTATTGGTAGTAAATGAAGTTTACATTTATATAATAGATCATCTTATCTCAGCTTGAGGCTGATGTGGTAGACACATACTATGTATTCCTCAAATCCCATTTCATTACTTTCTTGAGTATGTAGAAAAATTATATTTTTTAGCCTTCCTTGCATTTGAGAAGCATGAGCATGATTGCATTCTGACCAGTGGAAGGTGGGCAAAACCAAAATATACCACCTACAGCCCTGACACATAAAGTCCTCTTGCCATTTTTTATACTCTTCTTTCCCCATTATCCTGGCTTTTGAAGGAGGATTCTGTGGAAGACTTTAAGGCCACAGGGAATGATGAACTTGGGAAAAAAAACTGGTTCCCTGAATAACTGCATGATGTGGAGCCCCATCGCTCACCCCCAATCCTCTGGCAAGCTGCTTATGGAATGAATAAAAAATAAACTATATGTTATTAAACCAAGAATATTTGGGAACTGTTATTTAT